ATACTTTATTTAATAATTTGGATAGATATATGCTTTATTTCAGGAGAAGCAGCTCCAGTTATTAAAAGAATATAAACCTTGTATAATTGATTTATTAGAGGTATAGTGCAAGTATATTCTCATTAAGTTTAACATATTCTGTCATTTTTTATATATAAAAAATTGTATAAGCAATTCACTACGTGGAATAATTTAATAAAAAGTTTTTGTAATATGTATCTTTAAGGTACATATTAAAAGTATAATAAAATTAATATGTACAAAAAATATAAATATTGATGAAAATATATAATAATAAATATATTTATTATATTTTTAAGATATAAATTATATCACTTTTTAATAAATTTAATAAAGATAATACTATAAGGGCAACTTTTTATGCTATGTTTTGGTATAATTTTCATATGTTATCAAATGAGTAATTGTATTCAATATCACAAGTTTTATATGAATAAAAATAATTAATTATTTAAATAACATATCAAATTTTATAAAAAAAATAATATAAAAAATTATTTTAAAATCATCCCTCATTTAATCAAGTATATGAAATTCAAGAAAATGGCTGACGGGTACAAGTGGGGGAGTGGCAATAGGGAGCCCTACGTAAGTAAAATCTTTGAAAAAACAAATATTAACAAATGAGTTCAAAACTTGTGAGCGTTGCCACTTAACGGTCAAAATTAAACAGTGTTAGAAACTATGGACGGCAGGACGATAATAAGTACATTTTCAATAGCAGAGAAAGGACACGTTGAGCGTTTCCATGGTAGAGAGACTGAGAGAGGGCCCGAGGCGATTCCATGGTAGAAGGGTTAAATTGAAATTGAAAATTTTCACAAAGTAAAGGAATGACAGCTGGCTTTTAACCCTTTTGTGTTTTCCCTCCATGCCGAATTGGTGATCGAAATAATGACAACGGACATAGAATGAAGATTCAATTTTTGGAAGAGGTTAGGAAAAAGTAATTTCTTGCACCTGATTTCTTATGTGTTTTTTTTTTTTAGCTGATTGAATTATATTAAATGATAAAAAAATATTTTTAATGTATTCTTTTTTAATTGTTTGAATTATATTAATTGGTAAAAAATGTTTTCAATGGTGAATAACTCTCAATATTAAAAACTTAATCTCTCATTTAAAGATTCATCTAATGTCATCTAATAAAATTTAAATTATACTAAATATTTTTAATTTTATATTTCTCAAACTGTAATTTTTTTTAACAACATTGTAAACTAAAGATTGAGTTTAATTTAATGTATGTAAACTTATTCAAAATATTACAATTTAAATTATATAATACTTGCTGTTAAATATGATAATTTTTTGATATCAGAGACCCTTCTTTATATAATAACTCATATTTTGTAATTTAGTATGATTCAAACTACAAAATAAAAATTTATGTCAAATAAAATCAAAAATATATATGCATATAAATAGGTTTTTGGTCCTCCAAGGCAAGTAGCATGATGATACATCTTGGGTTCACAATTATATGTTTGAACTTGGGCAATCCATTTCCCCTTGCCCTGGTATATATATAAAATACAATTGCCTTCTTTAGATGTGAGTGAAACTCGTGTCAATCTGGCTAATTGGACTGAAAAACTTCATCCCAAAATGCAATTGCCTTTTTTCAAATAGTTTGTCCATGAATAGTTGATGAATAGGAAAAGAGCCTGTTAGATATTTTTTCACAGGTCGTTCTCCATAAGAAAATGTACAGGTTTTTTAGGTACACCGGCCCTGTTTTTGTGGTTGGATCCTCTCTTCCGTGTCTTTGTGGGCACTATTTGAGGGCTTTCAAATGAGAACATGATCAAAGATAGGCACAAAATGGCTAGTTCCATTATTGTCAGTCGCAGCATCTAGGTAGGTTTTGATCTGCTGACGACAACAGATTCCCACATCCTTTGTTTTTCTCTCAGTTTTCATGGAAGATTTTCTTCAATGCCATAATAATTTTCATATGGCCCCCAATTTGATTTTTGGCTGTCACTTGGCATGTGTATGCCCCAGCAATCACAGACCAGTACCATAATTATTGGGTGTCCCAAGTTCTTGTTTTGCCAACGCATGCATACTTTTTTTTTTTTTTCTGTTGATAAAAGGCTCCATTGCACTCGAAGTTTGGGTGTCCTTGCTCATAAGAGAATTTTTCTATTAATTTATAAAATTGGAAATAATTAAATGCAAAAGAATATTATGAATTAGTTGTAAAATGAAATAATTAGACAAAATCATGGGCCATGCGGCCCATTAAGGTTAAAACCTTAGCCCAGAAAAAAATGGAAAAATGATAACTTGGTGGATTGGACCGTTGGTACAGAAACAAATGTTATTTAACAAGAAAATTACTTTTTGGCCCGTGAGCTGCTTTCATAGCTCAGTTGGTTAGAGCACCCGTTTAGTAAGCGGGAGGTCTTGAGTTCGACTCTCAATGAAAGCATTTGATTTTTTTTCATCTTATTTATTTATTCTTTATTTTCCTTAATATGGTTTGTTTCTAGCTTTCTGCAATTAAAAGCCAAGGCTAATATCATCTCATTTTTCTGAATTTCAGATTTTCCGGAACAAAATCTTTTATTTTCTCCCTGCACTTTTCTGACCACACTAAGCAAAACAATGTCCAAACATCGTAAACAGAACCTGCAAAGCTCATGCACTAGTGCCTAAAACTGAAATTTTGTTTACTAATATCGGTATTTGGACCATCCATGATTTGTCCAAGACTTATATTCATAAATAACAATAGCAAGATTGTGCATAGAGTTGCAGAAGGAATCAAAACATCAAAATTTCCAAAATGTGTGAATTAAAGAACTGTTTGCCCTAACGTTTGAAGGGTTAGAGGGCAGGGAAAAGTTTGTTAAGGCAGCATGGTAAGGCATAAAATTCATCATTCCTGACATCTGAGTTGTATATGCTGAACTTCTCCCACCACTTCAATCCGCAGTCTTTCCTTGATTCATCATTTTCCCGGGAAAGTGTCAGGTCGAAGAAGAAAGCAACGAGAGCAGCCACCGTGGTGTGAGACATAAAGATAACAGTAATAATGTCATTGAACTGCAATACAGAAAATGTCATGTACAAGAATTGAGTGCCCTGTGAATCCCCTAGTTTGGCATAGATAACCTGATTTTAATTTGAAGGGTGCTATACATCAAAAAAGAAAAGCAAAAGTGGGGAATTTTTTAGCTCAAGAATCTCACCCATGTAGAGTTGTGAATATGGGTTGACCTCAAACCTCCATGATAATACTCTCTGAAGTATTGTGGGACTGAAATACCCATGAAAATGGAGAATCCCAAGATGAACTTTGTTTTGAAACTGTTCAGGTTGCAGAATTGGAGAAAGCCAAGACCAGCAGAAGCTTCATGCAACATTGTAGCAAAAAAGTTAGTAACTTTTTTTTTGCTGGAATTTGAAGGCTTAAAAAAAGTAGAGAGAATACATACAGACATAGCTGAAGAGAACACAGTATAAAGCTCCTACTATTGAGAGAGGTATAGAAGCAGCAACAGCACCAAATTTTCCTGGTTTTAGAAAAAGGTTGTCAAGATATCATGATGTAATAGAGATCATAAGGGAGATCTTTATATGATTCATTTACAAATACGTGAAAATTTTAGTGTTTTTAATTAGCTGCCTACCAAATACAGAGAAGAAAATCATAAACCCAGCTGATATTTGAATCACTCTTCTGCTTCCGACTTTTGTCAATGCCAATAGTCCTGCATTTTCTCTGCATTTTGGAGAAAAACATAAGAGAAGTACTCTGGCATTAACAAACTAGTACTAAATAACTTAAATCATACTAAATTAACATATATTTATCAAAACTAAAGTTGAAGTTCATTACACTGATGCAGTAGTGCCAGTAACACAGCCAAACATGCCATTGATCAAAACTCCTACTCCCTGAAATTTAGAAAATTGCATAACAGAAATTAGAGCAGAATTCAGAATTGTGCGAAGGGTTTGAGAATTTAGTGGGGTGTATGAATAATGATTCGTACCAGCCAGCCAGTGCCACGACTGATAACAGAAGGTGGAACAGGAGTGGCACTCCCATACCTTGCTGCTGCAAAGAATGTACCAGTAGACTGAAATAACAAGGGGAGGATTAGTGTTTTCTTCCTATAATGGTACAATACTTAAAATGCAGTTTTTCAATAAAAAAAAATAAGGAGTGGAGGGTAAGATGTGATTCAACCTCAAATAGGGATACAAAAGAAGCAGCCATCATGGCAAAAGCTTCTCCAGCATTGAAGGTGGGAGCTCCCCATTGAAGGGGATAAGGAACATATATCCTGCGTGGAGACAATATTTTTATTGTCAAAATCATCACATGAGAAGGTGAGAGACATAAAAAGGAAAAAAAAATCAGTGTAACTAATTAATAAGCAATCAAAGCTGCATTGATGCTCTACAAAGTCCGGAGTAGTTGAGCCTCTGAAGTCTTTGATCTAAGGCAGAAAGCAAAGAAAACGAGAAATTCGAGCATTCTAAAGCAGAATGCAAGCATGGAAACAGAAGACCTTTCAGTGCGAAAGATTCAACCCTTGATGCATTTAAAATTCATAGATGATCTCACCATGGAGCTTCACTGATGAGTCCAGCGCGATCAGTGCGGCAACTAATTTGCGTAGTTTCAGGTTTGTGTTTATAAACTGAACTTGAAGTTAGCAGCTGAGCATATAACCATACAATTACAACAGTGATCAGGACTGCAAATCGATCATATATGGGCCTCTCTTGCTGCATATAGCGTGGTAGATACTGCAAAAGCATTATGATACTTCAGTAATAATGTTCCTAACCATTGAGCCAGATGGAAATAGAGATGTTTGTGACAAAGCAGCAACCAAGAACCTCATATGTTACTTACCTGTGAGATGAAAACCAAGATGATGATCCCTGGAAGCCCAACTTCAACACATTTAGCCAGCTAAAAGGAAGATAAAAATGAGAGATACTATGTTCAAACCGATTTTGATACCAAAGCAAACAGGACTATATTATATTGGAAAGTGGAAATATGCAAAAAAAGTGAAAAAACAACTTATGATATATTAGAAAATGTGGATGAAGGGTAAATAGATTTTTACCATAGGGAAACCAAGATGATAAAGTCCAAGGCCGCTAAGAGTAACAAATGGAACAACAGAAAGAGGGCTAAGGAATCTGTAAATGGTAAGGGAGGAATTCAGGATCATGAAGTCTTCAAATGATAAATCAATACAAATATAAACCTTAGATGCCTTTCTGCAGCCCAGGAATTAGTGGGAAATGAGATGAAAAGGAGAATGACTATTAATATTATCCTTGAATTTTCAAAACTAGTAAATTCTACCTGACAACATTTCTCCACAATCCTAGAAACCCCACGACCGCCTGAAAGCATGCTGTAATTATCAATGCACCTTGAATCCCCCTCATTGTATGTACAAACCTCTGCAAATCACCCAGAAGAACAGATCCATTGAAACAAACAGTACAAGTGAAAAGGAATTTTACATGAACATAATGCAATGTGCCTCTTTACCTCAATAGGAGTTGCACAGGAGCTATATCTACTGGCTTGGATAATAGATGCGATGGGAATTAAATATGCATAAGAACCCACAGCCACTACTGGGAGTCTAGTTCCAAATAAAGACTGAAATACAGTGCTTAATCCAGAGGCAAAGAGTAAGGACTGTATCACCTTGGCCTTCTCTGCCTGTTTCAGGGAGGAAAAAAAAACCATTTGAATCAAATTGATGTGATAAAATGGAAAAGAAAAAAAAAAAAAAAGATTCAAAGAAGATTGATGATGAGAGTACAATAGAATCCTTACATTACCACCACCCATTTGAGGTACAATTATGCTTGGAATCAAAACAGTAATACCAAGAGTCAACAAATAATGCTGGAAACCCACTACTAGTGCTTCCACTGCAACATTGAAATTAAAAGTAAGGACACTGACAAGACAAACAACAAGAAGTCGTTGAACTTGACAAGAGTGGTATCAGGAACAAGATTGGACTTGCACAAAGGAGATAACACAAAAGGATATGATAAACATACACCATGGTGGAGGGCTGTTAATGCAATACTGAATCCCGGGCATCTGCTCCTTCACTGGATGTGGTTGTGGTGGCTCCTCCACCTTCTTGTTGCTACCTGCAACACCATTGTTGGTCATATTTCTTTTAAGAGACACTTAGAAAGGGAGTAGACTAGGGAGAGCGAATTTAAAAAGGAGCTAAACGTGGCTAGTCAGCACAAACTGACCGTTAGAATCCTGCAGTTACAATTTTTTGTAATTGTAATTAAGATTGAATGAATGAATTGGCTGGGCAATAATTACCATGACTTTATGACTTATTATTACATAGATTTTTCATAGGATTCTTCTAACCTATGCCCAATATAACTTTTCATCATAAATGTTTATAGAAAAATGTAAAAATTAATTTTAATTTTAATATTAGGTAAATTTAATTAGATAATTGATAATTTTTACTTTTTTAATATAAATTTATGATAAAAAAATATATTTAATATATCCTTAATACGTGCTCTAAGGACACAAATTAGAGAACCCCTTTTTCATATTTTGAAGAACAAGAAACTACAGTGGATATGAGGGAAATTCCAAATTTATATATTCTCCACTATCTTTGAACAATTCCAAATAGCATTAATCATTCGACACAAACAAAAATTAATTTTTTAAATATACTGTGCTACTGATATAAGTGTGTACCTTTAAGATCCTTAAAGAAAAACTAGTTTGATTGTGCAATAGTTGACCAGGTACACCCTGACCGTAAATAGAAAAAATGCAAAATTTTGTGGTCGGAGCAGTAATTTTTTTTTAAAGAATTACACATAAAAGATAAAATGATAAAATCAAATATATGTAAATAAATCCTAGTAGAAATAAATATATACTAAGGTTGTTTAATATGTTTACTGTTTTAAGTTTTAAGTTTTAATTTTCTTAAAAATTTGTAACTATTGAATATCAAAATAATAAAAAATAAAAAATTTGTTTAAATAAATTTTAACATTGAAAACTAAAAATTTTTATTTGTTTAATAATATTAAAATTAAAAAAATTTATTTATTTGTTCTGGGAACTACTCATTGCAATTCATTTTATGTTAAGTATCATGATTATACGAATGCCATTTTTAATCTCTCCTGTGATGAGAGTTTCTTAGGCGTCATAATTCTACAATACGAATGTCATTATATATATAAAAATAATAATGCTTATTCACCTTACTTCCTAAAGAATAGGAGAAAAATCATTCCAAAATTAAGTCGTTTTAATAAATTTTCATTGAAAAAGATTAAAATACTTTATTTTTAAAATATGAATTAGATAGTTTTTTGTCGTTCCCTGTAATACTTTATTAAAATTACGTAATTTTGAAATGATTTTCTTCTTAATTTTTAAGAGATAAAGCGGATAAACATTAATTCCATATACATATTTAAATTGCTTTAATTTTAGTGAAATTATATGGAAGTCATTTTTTTATTATAGTTAATAGAGGTAGATTTTTTTCCGATCTATTTGGGAGAATAGTTATGGTGGGATTGTTACCTCACCAATTAATATAATCTAGATGAATCATAGAGTGAGTCGGGGATTTAGGGCTCACCTGAATTGCTTATTTGGTTAGCTATAATACTATAGAACAATAGTCATTTTATGAGTCCATGCAAGGATTAAGGTACTCTGATTCGCATATTTCCTTATAACACCTTATTTGATATTTATAGAATTTCTTTTCATAAGAAAAAAAAAATATTTTTATTTTCATTCCTCTAATAATCATAATAATATATTACAAAAATATAGAAAAAATATACTTTTTACTATTTAAAGTTGCATAATTTACAAAAATTAAAACTAAAAATCGAAAACACAATCATATTAAATAAAGCTTAATAAACCAAAAGAAGAAATAAAATTCGATCTACTTATACAGGAAAAAAAAAAAAGACATTTATACTTTTATAATAAATCATCTCTTGACTATTAAAAAAATAAATAAATTCTCTGAAAAGTCCACTTTGGTCGGTAACCTCTGAAATCATTTTCAATAATTGCTATTTGAGAGATTAAGTCCATAACAACATTTCAGCTTTCATAAGTCATTGGTGGCTCAGCTGGTCATAGGTTCAACCTTCCCAACTTGACTCAGCTAAAGAAATCTGCATTTCACCCTAGTTGAAAATAATTACACTAACAACACTGCCTACTACTATAAATAACATCTTTCTCAAATGATTTGAATCTTAAAAAGCAACAACTGAATTATTATTATATTTTTTTTAAGAAAAAGGGTCATGATAATTTGAAGTTTCTTGTGCTGATATGATTGTTGTTGGCTTCATTTCAACCTAAAAGTTCTTTGCCTTGTTTGCAGATGTGAATTTAACTGTAATAAAAAAGGATCAAATTTTCAGTTCCCACATCATAAATAACAACTGTAGTTAGTAGAGTTTGATGGTATAAAATTGCAATGTCTTCACAAACAGTAAACCAGATCTAAAATGCTTTTCTCAAAGAATTGTTAAACTCTTCTGCTCATCGAACTTCACATAATCACCTCTTCTTTGTTAACAGTCCAAAAAAGAACTTCCACAAACCTCTAATATATCTATCTATCAATCAGTTAGCATAGTTATCCACTTGGAGCAGAACCATTAGTCTCTCTCTGAGTTCCCAAGCTTGTAAATCATATGCAAGGAATTAGGAATGGCACAAAAGCAGAGAATGCATGAAATACAAATAGGATCCTAACGTAAGATAAGATTAACTCCATTGATTTAAAATGAATTTACCTATACATTTTTAGAGTAGTCATTCACATCTTTGAAATGCAACACTTCTTCAGGTGAATTCTCAACACCCTACATTCCTATTGCAGCATGTTCATTCTGCAATTCTTATACATTTGCAATATTTCAGATTATATCCATCTTATATTTAAGGAGATTGAAACACTTACAATGACTTCTAATAGGTAATTATCAGATTCTTGCCAAAAATTATTCCCTTCAACATTTGCTTGAAACAAGTGAAGAAAGATTTTGTGCAAAATTTTTATTTGTTACCAGTTACACTTTGTGGCAATACTCTTATACATAAAAGTGGAGCATGACTCTATCAGATTATTGCTTTTTTCTCCTAAAATAACTCAATATTCCACAATCCCATGATTCAAAACAAGAAGCTTTTAAAGGAATACAGAGTAGTGCTTATTGCACAAAATAACCATTTAGTAAAGCATAGTGGTAAATATATAAATGGTATACTGAGTTGTTTTGCATAGACCAACTTAGAATCAAAATATCAAAAGCCATCACACTCAGTCTCATTTAATATAGCCTTTATATTAGAGTATTGTAGGTCTACGGTGTACTATCCAATTTTTAATCCCATTACAAAAAGCCTAGTGTTTTGTTAATACCAGACAAGAAGTTTTTAATCCATTTCACTACCTGCAAGTGCTCATTAACAATTCTTCATCTTTCATTCAGAAATACAACACAATATATCTTTAAAGCCTGCACAGAACATTACCACCATAAATGAAATTCAACACACATCCATTATCCATAGCCACAATCAAACTGAAGCAGGTCAGAAAAGCAGCATTTCATCAAACCAAGGGAAATGAAAATCACACAGAAGCCACACTAAATAAAATAAAAAGGAGATAAAGAAACTGAAAACATCTATTACCAATTGAATGCATTACTTCAATCCCTTTGGGATGGGACTCGAGCTCTGAATTTCAACCACATTTCCATCACCAACCTCTCCTTTCTTTACCCACATCTTACCAGCATTTGTCCCATTTCCCTCGCAGGGACGACGGGTCCCCCAATTATCCCTCCCAAGCACCGAATTGCGGCGATTAGGGTATCCTTTTTGCCTTGAATACCGATGATCTCTTCTATTCCCACCATCAACTGACAAATCCACAAATTTCTTTTCAATCTCCACAACCTCATTCCGAGAAGTATTAGGGATTGTCGGCCTAAAATCCGTGCGAGGTACTCTAGGCCACCACCCTCTCCTCCTTGGAACAATCTCCTTCTCAACATTCTGGCACGACGGCGCTTCCTCTTCGCCCTTTATCACCTCCTCATTCTCTCCGCCTCTGATCACCTCCTCGATCTCTGCCCCAGCTTTATCTTCAATCTTGCCTTTCTTTTTATTTTTCCTCTTCCCCGATTTCTTCTTCTTGATATCCTTCAATCCCTGACTTTCCGCATCCGTCACCGCACTCTCGATTGCAAGCTTCAATACCTCGGGCTTCCGGCCCTGATTTCTCGGAGTAGACTGCCGAATTGGGCGTTTCCTGCGGTTGATCGGTTCACCTTTCACTCTCCGACTCCCAGACTCCCCTTCTCCCACAACTAGCTTTAACTTTTTCTCATCTTCTCTTCGCTGCTGCTGCTGCTGCTTCTCCTGCTCCTCCTCCTTCTCCCTCTGCTTCCGCTCCTGCTCTCTGTCCCACCGCTCCTTAAGCTGAACCAGGGTAACGAAGTTGGGCGGAAACAAGGGAGGTTTCTTGTTGGCGCTATTGTTATCGCTCTGTTCCGCCATGGAAACACAGCAGAGAAAAACTCAAACCATAATTTCCCAAGCAGAAATTTAATCGAGATGAAAACCAAACGAACAGGGTGTTGGATGAAAGCGAATGAGCACGAATCGAGCTTTTAAAGCTATTGAGGAGAATTCTTGCTAAACAAGGAGGGTAGAGAGAGAAAAGAGAGGAGAGCAGTCAAAATCCTGAAGTTTCTAACTTCCAAACAAATATGTCGTTTCTTGAATAAACGACATCGGTTTGCTTGGTAATAACGAAACTACCACTGCCATTGAGGGCCGTCGATTTGGTGGATGGACCCACAGATTCTCTGAAAATGTATCCCATTGCAGCAATCTTTTTTATTATTATTTTATATAACTTTTATATATTATTAAATAAATATATTTAATATTATAAATATTAAATAAATAAAAAAATAATTATTTAAATAATACATAAAATTATATAAAAATATGATAAAAATAATTATTTTTAAATCACTTTTCTATTCCATTTTTCTTTATAAAAAGACAATCCACGATGTGGTCCATTAGTCAAGTCGGGCCTCTTTCTCTTGAGACCATTTGTGCTATTTCTATGATTTTATCTCAAAAGCCCAGAAACGACTTCCAACTTTGGACCCAAATGATTCGTAGAGGAGGTAACAAATCTGCTGGGCTTAGCCTATGACAATTTAGCCCACATGGTTAGTGGGAATCAACTTCGACCCCAATGATGATTTGTAGCATCAGGTCGTATTTATTATCATTATTATTATTATTATTTATAAACATATCTGGTGCTTCCTCTCGAAGACTCGCAACAAATACTCACCATGTAGACATCCTTTGCAAGACTAATAATAATCTAGAGTATAAATTTTTAAATAAAGTGATGTACAGTTTGTCTTGCGTTTATATTTTATTATTATTGAAGGGAAATAATATTTTTTTATTGAGGTGATTCTTTTCTTTTAATAATTATAAAATATATAATTTATGTAAGATAAATTACAAAACTGCTAACTTTAATGTTTTTACATTTGAAGAAAATAAATCAATTACTCACATTTTATTTTAGAAGTTGCTTATAAACAATTTTTTATTTGATTAAAAAAACTAAAGTCTATTAAGGTTAGAAAGAGAGAGAATATTTTTATTTATT